AATGATAAGAGTGAAAAGATGCACCTTTTAATCATTTAAGCTTTAATCAAAGCATGTAGGAATCAACTAAGATTGTCGCCTAAGCTTTTGTCAATTGCTTTATGGCTATTCATAGCACAATTATTAGCTATATGCCAGTGGAATTGTTATTGGAAAAAAAGCCCTTAATGCCTACAAAAGAGTCTATTCTTTCTTGATTGATTTTTTTTTAAGAAGATGACATTGACATGGAGAGGTTTTTGCAACTTTGAATTTTTCAATTAAAAAGATTTCTTAAAGATCATCAAATTTCTATGGAAAGGCTTAAAGTGGCATGGTTGAACAATAAAGAGAGGTTTGAAAAAAATCACTAATTAAGGCCTAAGCTACTTAAAGATGATCATTGGATTTTAGTTTATGATAGTAGTTTGATGCACCAACATTCTATTCTTTGTAAGTTTAAACATTTTTGGTTTGGATCCTATGTGGTGATTGAAGTGCATGATAATGCAACTTATTTTCTTCAAGAGTTTAATGGAATACTATTGAAGACTAGGATTATAGAATAATGAATTAAAATCTTCAAGCGGCAAGACAAGATGAATTATATGGAGGATATAGAGGCTTTTGAACCTCAAACTTTTAATCAATGATTCAAAAGTGATATAACTGATAATGACTTTGATTCTAATAATAGAGATATTGTGGTCTAATTCTTTAGCACATATCAGAGTATGTGCAAGTTTGAAGGAAGTGATTGTTGTGATAAACTTAATTTAAGTGCATAAAAGTTATTTAAAAGGTAATTAGTTTTACTTTTAAGAAGGAAAGAATATAATGCTAATATATCTATAAATTTGAATAGAATTTAAAATATGAGATTTTTAACTTGAATAGATTATTCAAGCTTTGAAGGTATTATTTTTTAGGATAGATATCCAATTCTATAGTAGTTCAAAGTAGATATTGGGAGAAGATTAGGATAGAAATTTTGGCATCAAGTGAGATTTTATTTATTTATTTATTTATTTTTTCTTAGATAGGAGTATATTGAAGGAGATCATTGGGATTTTGTAGCAAGTTTCAAGATTACTTTGGAATTTTAAATGCCACTTATTAAACTTTCATATTTTTGTATTAAAATTTAGAAAAAATACATATCTTATTATTAGATTTTTAATAAGCATAAGCACGTAAAAAATGGAGTTGTAACAAAGAAAATCCATTCAAGTTTGTGGGAAGGATGTTATTGGAGTTTTTGAGACAATATGATTTAAAACTGGTTTGAAATTTATTGTACCATTTCTTACATTTTTTTTTTCTTTTTGATTTGAGATTTTAAAGGAAGTCAGATCTTGTTGTTAGTTTTTCAAGAAGCTTTAGTATGTAAGAAGAAGAGTTAAACAAGAGAAATCAAAGCTAATTTGTAGAGAGAGATTTTAAAGGCTACGACCATAGTAAGTAGCCAATTTTTTTTCCCTTGGTTTGATTCTTATTTTTTCAATTTTTTTTTTATTAAATTTGAGTGCATTTTGGCACAAGAAAGAAATTAATCTAAAATTTGTACTTAGCCTTTGGGCTATTTATTTTACATTTGAGTTTACTCAAGCAACATTTTGCTTCTTACAACCCACTTGCAATCAAGGACCTTGTGTTCTCTTGAGGAGGCTTGCCTTCTTGATAATGTAAGATTTATTGTTTGGTTGAACATTGAACCTTGCAATGTCCAACTGAAATTTAAAAATCATATAGGTCAAAACATGCCATATTACATTTAATTTTAAAGAATGTTAAGAAAAATAAAATCAACTTGTCTACTTTTAGATCTTTAAAAGTGTAAAATGAAAAAAAAATCTTCCATTTATTTTGAAAGATTTTTTTTTTTTTTTTTTTTTTTTTTTCATACACCATATTAGCAATGTTGTCAAAAATGTAGTTGTTGATGGATTGATCTATGTATTTATAATATGACAATAGATTAAGTGTGTTCATCTCTAAATAAATTTTTAGCATAGCATGTATACTTTTGTTATAAGAAGTAACAAAAATAGATTGTCCATACTTTAATAATTTTTTCTTGAAATTGATCAATCTAGGTATTTGTAAGGTACCAAACCACTTCTTAATTCATTACTATGGACTTACATTTTGCCTTAAATGTAGTCCATAGTTTGTTAAATGCTTCTTTAGATTTAGCATACATTACTTATAGAAAAGAATATTAATAGTTAATAATGTAGATCTCAAAAATAAAAATAAAAATCAGTAAAACTAAGCATCATATCATAGACTATTCCTTTATAACATGTTGTCTTACTTAATAATACATTAGGCATTTAGCTATAGAAGATAAATTAGAAATTACAACAAGAAAGGTTCTGATAATTTTAGTAGAATCCTAAATAAACTTCAATTTAATCTTAGTAATTTTAATTAAAACTTAATCAATTCTTAAGAAATCTTGAAGTAATTCTAAAAAAGAATCTTAAAGAAATCACAAAGAGTTTTTAAAGAAATCATAAATAAATTATAAATAAATATTTAAATAATAATAATAATAAATAATAAAAATATATAGATTTTTTAAATACTAAAAATAGAAATCCTAAAGAAATAATAAAAAATAAACCTTAAATAAATCCTATATAAATCATAATTAAATCCTAATCAAATCTTAATATAGTCTTTAATAAAATTTTAAAAAATCCTATTAAAATCCTAATAAATTCTTAAATAAAAATTAAATAATGCTTTAAAAAATCCTAATGAAATTCTAAATAAATTCTAATGAAATCCTAAATAATTCCTACATAAATTCTAACCAAATCTCTACAGTAGCTTGAAAATCTTAATAACTATTAATCATTAGTTGATTTCGACTAAATTTTTTTTCATATTTTAATCTTCAAGAAAAAGAAAAATACATAAAGTTTGAAAAAAAAATCAAACTTACCAATTAAAAAAAAAACAACTTCTATTACTTTTGGATGTTGGCTATCTTATTTTTTTAGTATAGATGTTAATATTTTACTAGGAATCACTCCTTGTTAAACTATTTAATTGTTCTTTAAATTAACAAAAGTGTAAAAACACAAGTTTACTAGAGTCTTACAAAATTTTGCTTTAATGGAATTAGTAGATTTTTTAAGATTGCAAAAAATCTCATTAACGCTAAAGTTCAAATATCCAAGATCTTAACTCAATTAAATTCTTATATTCTTCAATCTAACTATTCAATTAAGCTCAAATTTTTAAAATACATTTAAAACAAACAAAATTAAAAACCTACAATTTTTAACCCATACATTTGTTAAAATACTTATAATTCTTTAAATATATAAGCATCTTTTTATTTTTTAAAATCCATAATTATTAAAAATATGTTTCATTTTGATAAGCTCTTTGAAACTTAATATCCATCTAAATCACTTAAAATCAATGCTATAAAACCTTCATCAATTTGTTTTCTAATCTTACTCTTTAATTTGCAAAAAAAAACTTTGGAATTGCTATAAGTGTGTAATATTATACCTTAATATCTAATTTCAACCCTAGTTCACAACTAGTCTTTTTCAAGTATCAATTCTTTATTTCTTAAGATAATTTTGGCTATAAATTATTCTCAAATTTCTTCTAAAGATGCCTATATTATTTTTTTTCTAATCTACTTTATTTTTTCTTATTTATGGCCGTACAAAGTACGTAAAAGCCTTTTTTCATAAAAAAATAATATTAATATTAAATTTAGTCTATACTTTATTTTTTATCCATGCTTTACTATTATATTTTTTTAATTAGGCTCTTTTATAATAGAATCCATATTTTTATCTTTCACCACATATTTGTATTACAACACAACAACATAGCATCAAAGAGGAAAATTTGATGATTGATGTGCAAAAGATCTACCAATTTAAGATGGGCAAAAAAAAGATGAGTGATCCTCTCTTTCACATCTACCTTGTATTTGATCTTATAATGATCCTTAAAGAAAATAGTGATCAACACATCAACCAAATTCCTCTTGTCTATTTACTCCTTTATTAGCTTCTATTTGACATTGTAAAGTTTTTTTTTTATTGTAATATTAATGTTGTTATCCTCCTCTCACAAGATTGTAAAAATGTTCTTGAATGGAATGTCTAACTTCAGCATTGCATAGACAAAAGCATCTTACTTTTTTGTAAATTATTTAAGCACAACATGACCTAATGCATGAGATGAAGGCTCATGGTTGTAGTTTGCTTGAACAACAAAAAACTTCCACTCACTATCAGCTTTCTTGTGAGCAATTAGTCTAAAATGATATTCTCATGCAAAGTAGGAAATCTTTTGTTTCATCTGACCTTTGATCAACTTGTGAAGGTTTTGGTATATCTTTAATAGTACACCTTTTAGTGGTGGGTTTTGAGATGTTTCTTGATTGTTTTGTGGTAATCACATAGCATTGCAAAGCTACAAGTTGGTTGAAAGCTCTTTTTATATCACTTATTGAAAAGAAGACTTGTTGCAACAAGGCTTCTAGTGGTTTCAAAGGGCACCTTGGAACCCTAGAAGAAAAGCATTGGCAATTTGTGTGTGGATCTCCTAAACAGTGATGGTCTCAAGATCAGATGGTGGTGAGGTGGTTTTAGACAAATGTCTAGTATTATTATGCAATGGTGCCACTTTCCAGCAGATATCAAGTCATTGATCATGTGGAAGGACTGCATGCACAAATTGTGCCTCCAAGAACCAAATGGGGAGTGCAAAATGGCAGCAAAAAAAGCAGTGAAAAACACAGAGAGGACCTAATAGGAATTATTGCATAGAGAGGCCAGGTTGAACGCCCCCCTCCGTTCCCAGAAATCTAATCAGCGATTGAGATCAAATCTGAGCGGCAGCTGCGATCCGACGGCCCACGATGGCGGAGCCAGTCGATTGAGTTGGGAGGTTTCTGCGACACTATTGGCCCAGGATCAATGAGCGATGGTGAGCATCGGCAACCAATTAAAAAAACCAAAAAGCGATCAGCGAGCGAAATCCCCATCGATCTTATGAAGCCTGCGAGAGAGCGAGCACACGGGCTCACAAACACGAATCACCCCAATTCAGTGCGGGAGAAGCGGCTTCGATCGATTCAAGGGAAAGGAAGGAAGGAATGAATGAAGGGCAGCAGGAAAGATCACACAGAAGAACTAGAATCTTGAGTCAGTGAAGCACTCAATAATTTGCACAGTGTTCGATAGAAATCCATCCATCAGGCTATCGGGAGTCAAAGGTTGTGGTGTATGTGGTGAAGAGGCAGCATGATTGTTGGTGAATGGCGATTGAGTAGTTGTAGATTCGACAGGTTTTGGACGGGGATTGTGTCGCCATGGCGATGCAATTGGTGACCTGGGAGTTTGTCATGCGGCTCGGAAGTACGTTGATGTTGGAGGGATATCCGTTCTACGCAAATGGGTGGAACTCGTATTGGTTGATGGTGGTTGCATCGGAGTTGAGTACTCGACCGCGAGTGGATGACATTTTGCAAGATGGTGCTGCACTGGGGCTCACCGTGTGCCGCACCTGGGCCTTCAACGACGGCACCCACCTTGCTTTGCAGATGTCGCCGGGGAATTATGACGAGAATGTGTTTCAGGTGGAATTCGGACCTTGCTTTTTGGATCTCTCTCTCTCTCTCTCTCTCTCTCTCTCTTTTTGCTGTTTTGTTCACGCTTCTCCTTGTTGAGGTTAGGTCGTGCAAGGTGTCTGACTATAGAGCTGCATTATTCTCTTTTCACGATCTTGTAAGATGCCAACCTTCTGTTGGTTGTATCGTTTCTCATTTAGATGTTAGTTCTTCGTAGATTTTTGAAATTTGGACATGGATACCCGATTTTGGTTTTGGTTTTGGTTTTGGTTTTTTTTTTTTTTTTTTTTTTTTTCCCCGGTCAATGTTGAATTTATTGGGTTGTTGTTGTTGTTGTTGTTGTTATTGTTGTTGTTGTTGTTTTTTTTTTTTTTTTTTTTTTTGCCACAAACTTTGCTGTAGATAATTGCAGGTGTTGCAAAATGAAGAGCTGTTTATACTGTTTGAAATCGGGAATAGACTCTTACAATGTGCTGATGGAGTCATCTGTAGGATAACAAACAGGGTCACCAGTTGTTAGTTGTGCCAAGTATGTGCGTGATTTCCACCAGCTCTGATGAAACAAGACGGTGTGTACTTGTTATCTCCGTCAGCATTGGTTGCTGAAGCCATTCATGTCACAGTGATATATGAGCATGAACAATTTTGTATTTTATTTGTGTCGTCCGATTTCATATACAATCATTTCCAATTTCCTACCGGCTGTACTGTCCCAAGCCGCGAAGTGAGTAACCGTTCTTTTCCCAGGTATAGAATAGCCGTTACTTTCTCGGTTGTTAAAAATTCGTGAAAATGATCTGCACCTAGGTTTAATGCCAACACCTAGTGACGTTGTGGGGATGGCGGATGAGACAGGGGTTAGATTACGCGATATATCAAGCTCAAAGGAACGGAGTGAGGTTGTTGCTGAGTCTTGTGAATAACTGGCATGACTACGGTGGCAAGGCCAAGTACGTTGCGTGGGCCGAAGCCGAAGGGGAGGATGTTGCCGATGAGGATGACTTCTTCCGAAACGCCAAATGCCGGCAGTATTATAGAAACCATGTGAAGGTAATTGATGAACTTGAAATTTGCACTTTTATGTACCCAATGGAAACTGTAATCCAAAGTTGCTGTAATTTCTTGCCCTCTCTCGTTCTTTCGTAGTGAAGTGTTTTTGTTTCCGAGTTATCCAGTTTTTGGCGTGATAGGCTGTATTAACCAGAGTCAACACTTTCACTGGAGTGGCCTACCGCGATGATCCAACAATCTTTGGTTGGGAGCTCATGAATGAGCCCCATTGTAAATCCGATCCATCTGGAGAAACATTGCAGGTTCCTATTTTTTGCTATATTTTTTGCTGTGCTTCTTCTTGCTTGATTATCAATGCTTTTGCACGCAAGTGTGTTATTTCTCTTTCAATGCTGTCTACCTATGAAAGCGTTGAAATTCGCATTTTTTGATTATTGCCGCAGAGATGGATTGGAGAAATGGCTGCATATGTGAAGACTCTAGACAACAAGCACCTCTTGACAGTCGGTACGGAGGGCTATTACGCATCAGACAGCATAGGTTGCAGCAGTTCAAACCCACATAATTACTGTGGCACGATGGGCACTGATTTCATCCGAGACCATCAGTCACCATACCTTGATTTTGCAACTGTCCACGCGTACCCAGACCAGTGGTAAGGTTACTGTGTATCTTTTGAAAGAATTGTAATATTCATCTTAGACGTGCTGGCTTGATAATGCACAACCCTGGCTGTCACTGTCCTTTCAACTTTCTGAGGGATGGAGTTTTCTCAAAGGACAGACGAGATAATCATTGATTGGTTGCCAGGCTATCAACTGAGGATTATGACGAGATGCTGGAATTTTTCGATCGCTGGGTGAGAGCTCACATCGTGGACGCTGAGAGGGTTCTCCGCATGCCGGTGCTCTTCGCCGAGTTTGGCTTATCAGATAAGAACTCTGGCTTCACCAAAGAGAAGCTGGAGGTGTTCTACAGCGTAGTCTACGACCAATCATACGAGAGTGCGCTGAATCATGGAGCTGGAGCCGGAGCTCTGATGTGGCAGCTTCTTCCTGCTGAGATGAGCGACTGGAACGATGGATACAGCATCGAGCCGTCTTGCGGCTCCTCCATTTGCAACATGATGTTACTTCAGTCTGCGAGGCTGAAGGCCTTGCATAAGCCCGTGTGTAGTGCCGACACGGGCCCGTATATGGACATCTTCGGCAATAGAACGTCACCCAATCCGCACATGGTCTCGAATTTGTTCCAACAAGGCCTGAACCAGATCTTTACGTAGTACAGTAGCTCTAAGAATATTCAATGAAACGGTAAGTGTTCTCAGTTGAAATCATTGCAGCTCGAGTACGTCAAGTTACTATTTGGGAACTGGTTTCGTGGACAAAGATTTTGGGCAATAACCATGTCTGTTGTGGACGCAGTGTGATTTGAAGAAAGCTACTACCTAGTGCAATCAGCTACAGAAGATGGACGTAGTTATAAGCGACATAATCGAGCATTCCATACTGGTGTAGCTGCACAATCATCCTCGTAGCGCATGGATGGCCAACAAGGACTAGATGAGAATCGACTAGGTACCTTATCGTGACCTTCCTTCTGGATGACTACGCCGAGTTTGCTCAGCCCCATCAGAGAATAACTTGCAAGTGCCGCATTTAGAGTTCACTTATTTTATTAACACTTAGAGCTGGCATTCTACGATGTATCTTTGAACTTGTAAAATCAATCAATAAAATTGAAGTGGCAACTTTATTGCAGCAACGATCATACAAATGACAGTGCAGCATTTCTTTGGCCTGTGTTCAGGCTCGATTTTTTTTTTTTTTTTTTTTTTTTTTTGAAATGATCCTTCTACTTTATGCTGCAGATGTCTCACCTTCCAAATCGGATCACCATATTTCGAATTCACACATTACACAAATTACAAATCTGTTAAATTTGAAGTCTCTACGAAATTTACAGTCATCGCCGTGTCTAGGATGTATTGTACTTGCCGCTAACTAGTCTCCAATATACACTGAAGCCACAACACTAAAGATCCAAGTGGGAGCCCATAGTTTATTTTGAATAGCAGGATCTACAGCCTAAAACGTGTATTAGTAGTACAAGCCAACCCTTCCCTCGAAATTCAAGTTTCTGCATTCTTCTTGTGACCCGGTTATGGAAGTTTAGGTCACAGTGAGAGCAACTTTCATGCCGTAATCGCAGTGGCCCTTGATACCACAGATGTAATAGTATGTGCCTGGCCTAGGAAGGTTCACGATTACCTTATTTGCATTGTACAACTGCATGGGTCGAGTTACAGTGCAGGCATCGTAGTCGGAACGGTCTACTTGCACCACATTATGCGTTCCAGCGATGTACTCGAAAGCTGCAAAACATATCACTCTATAGTTAATTTGCTATGCTGTATCCACAACAGGAAATTTCTTTGGTGAGCTACAAAGCACACAGGCTGCAAAATCATTTGAGAGATGTGCTGGAAAACCATGAGGTGCAGGTTTAGGGTTCTTACAGAGGGAGTCACCAACATGGAAGGCATTTTGAGCAGCCCAGTTTGCAAAATACTCAGCTCCTTGGTTGGGGGGATAATTCCATCCTAGCGCGCCTCCTACTTTGTGCTCTACTGCGAATGTGTCTCGCGCCGCCAGGAGCACCACTGCCAACATCACAGTGACTACCATGGAATACGATGTCATGGTCTCGATCAAATTGAAATCACGTCCAATTCGATGTACCCACTTCAGTCCTCTTGACCTCGTTATGTATTTGTCTTTTGCTTCTGTAAACGACATCCACTTCATGAGCTAAAATGCAACAGAAGTCTCAGAGGTTCCGCGTCTACATTTCTGCCAACTCTTATGTCTATTACACCACAACATTCGAAACAGGGAGAAGTGCACTTCCTGCAGTTCAGAATTGTTGCGACCTCACAAATATGAAACAAACCCGTAGAACCTTTAATCCAAAACAGTATTACGTCGCGAAGCAAATGTAGACATATTCAGAAGCTTACCTGGACTACAACAATCCTGGCTAAGCTCACATACAGGTCACAGGTTGCAAAAGAAGCAACCACTGTCATGTGGATAAAAAAAATAACAAACAAGAGATGCTTGGAGTGGCAGGAAGAGTTCGATGAAGAGAGTGAAGCCACGACGTTGCATCTTATAGGAAAAAAATAATAAAATAACAAAAAAAAAAAAAAAAAAAAAAAAACGCCACGCAGTATCTCTGGAGTTTCATATTATTGAAACACTGGTTACAATCTCGTGAGATTGTGATCCTGTGTTCACATTGCTCTCAACTGTGTTTGCAGATAATGTACAGTCCTTGAAATGGGGTGCAGATACTCTAACGTAAGAAGAAACATAGTTAACTGTTGTGGTTATATAGCAAAGGAAAATTTGGCTATTTTGACATCACCCTGCTAACAAATTAGCAAACTCATACAGCTCTTTTACATATCTCTGCATCGACTTCTATCTAACCACAGAAGAAGTGTAATAAATATCTATGAATTTAGTATAAAATGGTCACCACTGTCAAAAGACAGCCAGTTGGTCTTTTTTTTACTGATTATTTTTTGTTCTACTGGTGATCAAAACCATAAGAAAGATGGGTGGAAACACTGTCATGTATTTGTGGAAACACTGTAAATTTACATTTCGAAAGTACCAGGCATCGTTGTCCTCAAAGGTACACAGTGACATATCAACAAACATTGATGAAAAGCCGTCAAGTATCTTGCTCAAAATTTAATGGACAAGGAAGGGAGCGAGAGCACCTCAAGGAAGCAAGGACAAGGGAGCAGTGATTGTTGCCATGCTCGCTCGTTATTTTCAGTACCAAAACGCACATGATTCTTCAGAACTTTTTACAGTTTGATGCAATTGTTGCATCTGATTGTGTGACCTCTGTTAATGACAGATATTTCAGGCATTCTGGAATGGCGTTGACAACAGTCTCACTCTCGCACACACACAGCAGGGTGTGGACTACATTCTGCTTCCGAACATGTACTCTGACACTGGCATGTCCTATTTATTATTCTAGTTGTTTTTAATTTTGTTTTTAATTTTTATATTTATGTGCTTATTCCAATAAACAGTCTTTCTGTCATAAAAATCTGATTTGTATAAATCTGTTCGTCTACGTTTATATTTAAGACATCAATTCATCAGTGTTTTCTTTTGTTAAAAGTAGTTTATAATTGATTCAAAAGTAACAATCTTTTTGGTAGAATACATATATATGTATATATATATATATATACACACACACACACACACATATATATATATATATATATATATATATATATATAATTTTAAATTATAATAATAGTACACATGTATAATGGATTGTATGTGAAAGATAAAATCTATTTTTTTTTATATTTTAATTTTTGCATACAGGTATTTTGTTTCAATTTTAAATAAATAAATTTTTATTAAAGGTATATCCAAAAAAAAAAGTAATTTTTATTCATTATTCGTTACAGATTGTTCTTATTATTATTTTTTATTATCATAAGCTGTATTGGTGAAAGTGTATATCAAAAGATGTCCAACTGTGCAAGCTTTTTTAAAATCCATGCTTCCTAAGAAGAAGAAAAAAACATACTTTCACAAGCACATGAATTGAAAAATAATAATCAAAACTACATGTTTGATTAATTTAAGTGCCTATTTTGTTATTAATGGTTAGATTGTTGTACTGGTGGAATAAATTAGAATTTTGCACATGAATTTTATATTTGACAACTACAACATATATTCATCAAGCTAATGTAAATGCTTGTAGATTTCTAATTTCGTGTGTTCAAAGTTCATGAAAGTAAGAGGAGCGCATATGTTAGCCCTTGTACATAATTTTAATATCTCATGGCAAATTTGTCATGTGGATAAGATACTATTTAATAATTACACACAAATAGATTTACATACTTCAATTATGAAAAATTAGGTGAGCACACATAGTTTCCTTTAAAAAAATCTACAAAGATCTCATACTTCATATAAAAAAATCAAAATACATACACTATAAATAATTATCAAGCCAAGTATGTAATTTTCAGAGTGACGTTCTCAGTTTGAATATCTTAGTTTATGATTTGTCCTCATTTATGTTGAAGTTGGCATGACACTGTCATGTGTACCTTATCACAGTATTTATAACATTGATAACCTTTAAAATGATCACCATGCACACAAGAAGATTATTGTGGAATTTCCGAAGTCATTTTGAATAATATGAATTGCAATATCAACATTAACAAACATCAACTCATTTAAATACAATAAAATATATTGAAGAATATATTCTTTGACTGTGTGTAAATTCTGTTATAGAAATTTAATTACCTCTAATAGCTGGATAAATTTGCAGATCATTTCGTTGTTTGAAATTTTATTCCATACAATGTAGATTTAATAAATAATTGTTTTACTACATACAAAAGTTGGTGCTCAAATTTTCAATTCTACAATGTATTTGGATGATTTAATCAGTTTAAAGCTTGTTGAATGTTTGAATTGTTTTGTATTCAAATATGAAAGTGTTATCAAATAATTCTTAATTATGTCACTTTTGTAATAAACAATAAGTGACGAAATTAGAATTAATAGTAAAATATATTATATCAAACAAATAATTGATAATTTTAAAAAAATAGGCTCATAATAAGTTTAGCTAGATATGTATTTGATGTGTAACCCAAATGCAGAATAAGAAGTTATTGGATTCAGATAAAATTCAATACTAATAAATAAACATATATATATATATATATATATATATATATATATATACTTATATTTATAATATTACCTCAATTTACATCCTATAATAGAAGTTATGGTAGGTTATAACACAGCTACATGGTAATGTCATCAATTTGCACACCTTATTAATCCTACATAAACTTTAAGGATTTAAAAGACATACTAAACCAATGCCCCGTGAATAATTCTCATGTATTCACTTATTCCTCCTTTAGGGTTTAGGATAAGTAAAGGAACTATAGCTATGGTGAAGACTCATGTACTTCACCAACTTCTTGAAGTACTTATCAAGTGCTCAAACAATCCTTGTTGAACGAGGCAAGGTTGAGTTTGGCCTTGAATAAACACCATGTTTAGTCACTATCAACAAGACCTTTAAAAAATGTAATGAATATAAAGCAATGGATAATAATAAACTTTAGGAAAAAGAACCATAGAAGGTCTATTTTCTAGAAGTCTAAAAATCTCATATTTTCTAATGGTTGGTTTACAAAATGTGTTTCTCACTACAAGTGAAAATTTATTAAAATGCATAAGAAAGCAAGTTTTTATTTTATTTTATTAGGATATAACCAATGTGGCTATGCTTTACTTGTGTGTCCATCTTGCCAATTATAAAATCTTTGATATGTATAATTTGGGTGAAAAAGAACTATTTTACAATATAGTGTCAAATAAAGTAATTTCTTGAAAACAAATTTTAAGCTATAAAAAAATATAATTACAATTTTATTTATTTTGAATAAAAATAAAAGTAATATTTTTTATTTTATTTTATTTTTTGGCTTTCTAAATAACCCTTTTTGTTTTAACCACCTCAAAAGCAAGGAATTCAAGTTTTATTATTGCTCCAATAAAAAAACTTTGATGATTAGAGATTTCTTCTGAGAATGATAAAAATAATTTGATATAGAGATTGTTAGGGAAAATCAGCACATTGTTTTGCAAAAAGATACTTTGCCTTCATACATCACAAATTATTGTCCAACACCAAACACTAAAATTTTCACACTTTCTGTCAATTAAATTTTAAGGATTCACCCTAAAGATATAAGGACAATTATTGCTTTTAAGCAACAACCTTTGTGCTTTTACTTGCATAATGCAATTGACCATAATAAATTTTGTTGCGTTGTAACAAAACTATTAGACAAAAAATCATACAAAGTTGAAGGTCAGTAAGGATTTTTATGTTTTTAAAAAATATACTAATTAGATCTGAGTCATTTTTTTGTAAATTCGTATATAAATTAATTTCCAATATGTTTTTAAATTTTGAGAGCTAGTGAAAGGTGTAAAAAAGAATTGAAAAAGAACTTGTGGATGTAGAAAGTCCAACAATTAAGCAAATTAAGTGTATTTTCTTTTAAACTTTAGATTCAAATCTTTTCAAAAACATTATGCCATTTTTCAACTAAAATATTGAGAAGTGTATAATACTTGGATAAAAATCAATAGTTAATTTAATATTTACCTAGGTTTTAAATTAGCTTTAGAATTTTGTAAGGATTTGAATTTTATTTAGGATTTTCAATGATTTCATTAGAATCTAATTATGATAGTTAAGATTTTATTATGATTTATTGAAAATTATGAAGGATTTTTATTTGTATTGATTAGAATTTAATAAGATATATTTAGATTTTATTAAAAATTAATAAGATGTATGTATGATATTTGGGATTTCTTTAGACTATTCAAGATTTTTAAAAAGGTCTTTGTAAGCACCTTATGTATTTTTTTTTGGATTGTAAATCTATTTTAAAGATAAGTTGAGACCCTTCTACATTCAGGTATATAGTGCATTTTTTAGCCTATATTTACACAAGACAACATTGCAACAAATTTTTGCATGTTAAAAGTTGACCAATTTTTAATAATTCTTCAACTACATGTAGCATGGAATGAAATCTCACCAACTACATTTAAGCATTCTTTTTTGCTACACCAAGCTCTTTGTGTGTTTAGATTAAGTCACAAAAGTAACATCAATGAAAGAATAGTGGAGGAAGAGCTATTAATTACACTTAAACATCTTTCATAGCAAAATCAAATGTAAATAGTTAATCTTCTTAATCCAATCAAAGAAAATAAAATAGTACATATTGAACTAGAAGACCATGTGATGATTAAGCTTATTTTCCAACATGAAGATAATCAATGCAAAGAAATCTCTATTATGCTTAAAGGAGAGCCAATGCCAACATCTTTTGTGCATATAAAGAATATTTACCAACTTCCAATTATTAATTCCATGCTTAATATTGCTTACCAAAGTGACTATATTTTTTACAAAAAACTTTGCAATATTCAACATCAATCATGTATATGTATTTCACAACAAACTACCCTTGATGTATTGTTAGAATAATTGCTTATCATACAA